GGTTTTTTTTTTTTTGTGATTTTAGGTCTAACATTTAAGTCTTTAATCCATCTTGAATTAATTTTTGTATAAGGTGTAAGGAAGGGATCCAGTTTCAGCTATCTACTAATGGCTAGTCTGTTCTCCAGCACCATTTATTAAAACGGGAATCCTTTCTCCATTTCTTGTTTTTCTCAGCTTTGTCAAAGGTCAGATGATTGTAGATGTGTGGTATTATTTCTGAGGGCTCTGTTCTTCTCCATTGGTCTATCTCTCTGTTTTGGTACCAGTACCATGCTGTTTTGGTTACTGTAGCCTTGTAATATAGTTTGAAGTCAGGTAGCATGATGCCTCCAGCTTTGTTTTTTTGGCTTAGGATAGTCTTGGCAATGTGGGCTCGTTTTTGGTTCCATAGGAACTTTAAAATGTTTTCTTCCAATTCTGGGAAGAAACTCATTGGTAGCTTAATGGGGATGGCATTGAATCTATAAATTACCTTGGAGAGTATGGCCATTTTCATTATATTGATTCCTCCTATCCATGAGTATGGAATGTTCTTCCACTTGTTTGTGTCCTCTTTTATTTCACTAAGCAGTGGTTTGTAGTTCTCCTTGAAGAGGTCCTTCACATCCCTTGTAAGTTGGATTCCTAGGTATTTTATTCTCTTTGAAGCAATTGTGAATGGCTGTTCATTCATGATTTGGCTCTCTGTTTGTCTGTTACTGGTGTATAAGAATGCTTGTGATTTTGGCATATTGATTTTGTATCCTGTGAATCTGCTGAAGTTGCTTATCAGCTTAAGGAGATTTGGGCTGAGATGATGGGGTTTTCTAAATATACAATCATGTCATCTACAGACAGGGACAATTTGACTTCCTCTTCTCCTAATTGAATACCCTGTATTTCTTTCTCTTGCCTGATTGCCCTGGCCAGAACTTCCAACACTATGTTGAATAGGAGTGGTGAGAGAGGGCATCCCTGTCTTGTTCCAGTTTTCAAGGGGAATGCTTCCAGTTCTTGTCCATTCAGTATGATATTGGCTGTGGATTTGTCATAAATAGCTCTTATTATTTTGAGATATGTTCCATCAATACCGAATTTATTGAGAGTTTTTATCATGAAGGGCTGTTGAATTTTGTCAAAGGTCTTTTCTGCATGTGTTGAGATAATCAATGTGGTTTTTGTCTTTGGTTCTGTTTATATGCTGGATTACATTTATTGATTTGTGTCTGTTGAACCAGCCTTGCATCCTAGGGATGAAGCCCACTTGATCATGGTGGATAAACTTTTTGGTATGCTTCTGAATTCTGTTTGCCAGTATTTTATTGAGGATTTTTGCATCAATGTTCATCAGGGATATTGGTCTAAAATTATCTTTTTTTTTTTGTTATATCTCTGCCAGTCTTTGGTATTAGGATGATGTTGGCCTCCCATATGAGTTAGGGAGGATTCCCTCTTTTTCTACTGATTGAAATAGTTTCAGAAAGAATGGTACCAGCTCCTCCTTGTAACTGGGAGTATTTGGCTGTGAATCCATCTGGTTCTGGACTTTATGGTTGGTAGGCTACGAATTATTACCTCAATTTCAAAGCCTGTTATTGGTCTATTCAGGGATTCAATTTCTTCCTGGTTTAGGCTTGAGGGAGTGTACGTATCCAGGAATTTATCCATTTCTTCTAGTTTTCTAGTTTATTTGCATAGAGTTGTTTGTAGTATTCTCTGATGGTAGTTTGTATTTCTGTGGGGTCCGTGGTGATATCCTCTTTATCATTTTTTATTGTGTCAATTTGATTATTCTCTCTTTTCTTGTTTATTAGTCTCTCAATTTTCTTGATGTTTCCAAAAAACCAGCTCCTGAATTCGTTGATTTTTTTGAAGGGTTTTTTGTGTCTCTATCTCCTTCATTTCTGCTCTGATCTTAGTTACTTCTTGCCTTCTGCTAGCTTTTGAATGTGTTTGTTCTTGTTTCTCTCGTTCTTTTAATTGTGCTGTGTTGTTAGGGTGTCAATTTTAGATGTTTCATGCTATCACTTATGGGCATTTAGTGCTATAAATTTCCCTCTGCACACTGCTTTAAATGTGTCCCAGAGATTCTGGTATATTGTATCTTTGTTCTTACTGGTTTCAAAGAACATCTTTATTTCTGTCTTCATTTCGTTTTGTACCCAGTAGTTATTCAGGAGCAGGTTATTCAGTTTCCATGTAGTTTTGTGGTTTTGAGTGAGTTTCTTAATCCTGAGATCTAGTTTGATTGTACTGTGATCTGAGAGACAGTTTGTTAAAATTTCTCTTCTTTTACATTTGCTGAGGAGTACTTTACTTCCAACTATGTGATCAATTTCGGAATAAGTGTGACGTGGTGCTGAGAAGAATGTATATTCTGTGATTTTTGGTGGAGAGTTCTGCAGATGTCTATTAGGTCCGCTTGATGCAGAGCTAAGTTCAATTCCTGGATATTCTTGTTAACTTTCTGTCTCATTGATCTGTCTAATGTAGACAGTGGGGTGTTAAAATCTCCCATTATTATTGTGTTTGAGTCTAAGTCTCTTTGTAAGTCTCTGAGGGCTTGCTTTATTCATCTGGGTGTTCCTGTATTGGGTGCATATGTATTTAGGATAGTTAGCTCTTGTTGTTGAATTGATCCCTTTACCATTATGTAATGGCCTTCTTTATCTCTTTTGATCTTTGTTGGTTTAAAGTCGGTTTTATCAGAGGCTAGGATTGCAACCCCTGGCTTTTTTTGCTTTCCATTTGCTTGGTAGATCTTCCTCCATCCCTTTATATTGAGCCTATGTGTGTCTCTGCACGTGAGATGGGTCTCCTGAATACAGCAGTCTGATGGCTCTTTACCCTTTGTCCAACTTGCCAGTCTGTGTCTTTTAGTTGGACCATTTAGTCCATTTACATTTGAGGTTAATATTGTTATGTGTGAACTTGATCCTGTCATTGTGATGTTATATGGTTATTTTGCTCGCTGGTTGATGTAGTTTCTTCCTAGCATCGACGGTCTTTACCTTTTGGCAAATTTTTGCAGTGGCTGGTGCTGGTTGTTCCTTTCCAAGTTTAGTGCTTCCTTCAGGGGCTCCTGTGGGGTAGGCCTGGTGGTGACAAAATCTCCCAACATTTGCTCGTCTGTAATTATTATTAAGTTTAGTGAGGGCAACGGTATGTTAGTGAGGGATTTAGGGTCGTTTGATTATGAGGTGAGATGGTCATATGTGGATGAAGTAATTCTTAACAAAACATCGGTATGTAGAAGTACAGTATACAGAGATAAAAATGTACAATGTAGTGTGTGCGTCAGCAATTTCTAACGGAGGCTTAAAACGGGAACACAATCTATCCATATCCTATGATTATCAAGATATTAATCAGCAGTAACAGTTGCAGGAAAAGCTGGTTGCAACAATCAATAGAAAGAGGATGTGAAGCTAGACAAGCGGTTAAACCAAAAAATTCTGAGAAGGGAGTATACCTAAACTCTAAAGAGACCTAGAAGAACTGTGGCAAGATAAGTGCGTTTATAACCCTATCCTATCCATATGAACAGGCACCCCTCATGTGTCCATTAATAGACTCTCCTCAAGGGTTGCATTCCATTCCCAGAGCTATGAACATCTACTTTTCTGGGATGGGAATCTTGGTGACGTGAAACCTCCCTGACTACACGTCCATTTATAGGCTCTCTACAGGGGAAGTACATCACGTGCTGTTGGCTCATTCTGGCAGTCCAACCTGACACTTTCTTTACATAATCCTGCATGAAGTTTTGTATTTGCAACAATCAGGAGCATTTCATCTTTTATTCCATAGCAATGGTTTCAGGGGGTCTCCCTACAGGACTACAGGCGCACACAACCACACCCAGATAATTTTTGTATTTTTAGTAGAGACAGGGTTTCACCATATTGACGAGGCTGGTCTCGAATTCTTGACCTTGTGATCTGCCTGCCGTGGCCTCTGAAAGTGCTGGGATTACAGATGTGAGCCACTGCACTTGACCCATAAACCACACATTTCTTTCGGTTTTTGAATTCCAGCCCAAGAGAAACAATTTGATATTTGAAGGATGGCTGCACACAAATGTTTGCACACAGACAAAAATGTTTGTAGTTTGCACCACATGAGGAAGACTACCAGTATGACTATCAGGACGAAAATATCAAGAGGTTGGAATATGCATCTTAGGCAAGATGCAAACCAACTGTAATAGAATAGATCAAAGAAGAAGCCAGAAGAGTCTAGTCATTTTAACCAGGCAACACATTTGTTGATTTTTACAACTGAGTCTCCATAATACCTGATGTATTTATCCACGTGCAACAAGAAGTGTCAGAACCTCCACAGGTTCCCCCGTGTTTAGCTGGTAGAAAGCAATTCTATTTTCTAGCATTGCATGTCCATGTTAAATTAAAACAGGAAGCGAGAGGAATAGGCAAGTACACAAGTAGAAGAATTAAAAAAAAAAAAAACAACTCCATGCACTTGAGGAAAAAGTTGTGTTAAAGATGCAGCTAACTTCAGCCTTTGGGTGGACTAAAGGATCTCTTATTATTTAAGAATGTGTGGACCAGGTGCGGTGGCTCACGCCTGTAATCCCAGCACCTTGGGAATCCGAGGCATGCGGATCACCTGAGGTCAGGAGTTCGAGACCAGGCTGACCAACATGTAAAAACCCTGTCTCTACTAAAAATACAAAATTAGCCTGTTGTCGTGGCGCATGTCTATAATCCCAGCTACTAGGGGGGCTGAAGCACTGGAATCACTTGAATCCAGGAGGCAGAGGTTGTGGTGAGCCAAGATGTTGCCATTGCACCCCAGCGTGGGCAACAAGAGAGAAATTCCATCTTAAAAATAATAATAAGTGTGGTTGACATGAAATATCTGACACTGTTAACTTACTCTCAGAAGCTACTTCTTGTGAAATCCTAAGTACAGCACTATTCTGGGAAACAAAGGAGACAGGCATAAGCAAAGACAAACTAAGAGAAGTAAGAGTCTCATCACGATTGATAGTCTTGTTCTGATATCTTGAAAAAAGCTGTCTACAGTGTACAGTCATCAACTTGCTGTTGTGCTTTGCAGTTTAAGTATCTCTAAGTTACGGTGTTGAACACTTGGTGAGCTCTGAGTGGCCCACACCTCAGACATGAGGGTTGTACCATGAAATTTACATTGAGTTGTCCACCTCTAGCTTATATGATTTAAGGAACAGAGCTGTTCTTGTTCTTAATGGTTTCACTGGAGAAAATTGAATTGGAAGAACTAAAAGAATTCAGCGTCCACTCCAGTCTACCAGTAGGTTATAAATGCTCAAAGATAATGAGCAGTGGTTCAGTCTGGTAACAGGTGTACTACAGTTTTTCTTTTCAACATAATTTTTCTCTATATAGGATTCTCTATTTTTTCCAAAGATAATTCCAGTAGGATGAATTTGTTTGCAAAATAGGTTGAGTCTCAGCCAACTTGCCTAGATTCTTTATCTAAGTGCAACAAGAGTAGCAATGGACCATAAAGGATCTTTTTAAACTTTGCTTTGTTAGAAGTTTTGTAAGATTCTCAGATTAAACTTATAAAAACCTCTTGAGACTAGGAAGCCAAACAAAGGCCAACTTCAGACTTTCCCTGCATTCCCTATGGGTTTATTCTATGTATATTCTCAAATAGAATATCCCAGTCAAAGCCTTGGTTATATAACCAATGTTTTCAAATGTGTCCTGTTATACAGAGTGTAGATTCTCTCTAAACTTGTGCAAATATCTTTATTACCCTAAGCAAATGAATACTCATGAATACTATGAATAGTTTCCCAATTCTGGGGCACTCAGATTGGGAGAAAAAGCAAATATTTTCATTTTTGTTTACAAAAGTATAATTTACCAAATAATTGTAAAGTATAAAGAGCTTAAAAGAGAAAGTTCATAAATCTGGAGAATAAAACATTTAAAGAATCAGCACATTTTCAAATAAAAAATTATGAAAACATTATCTTTTTGATTATTAAGCCCAATATAACTGAGTTTTTTCTTCTTTGTCTTGAATTTCATGAAGGTATCAGCCTGTTCATTAGAATTTTGAAAGTTCTCAGAGAGTCCAGTGGTATTATCTTGAAGTTTTCAGAAACTTGTATTCAAGAGTCTTTGTCAGAGTCTTTTCCATATAGCTCCTTGAAGAAAAAGCAGTTTTGGACCATAGCTGACTGTAAATACTTCCAGGAGGAATCAAAGCAACTGTCTGGGAATGACAAAGATTTAAAATGACCATGGTTAAAAATCTAATGAGATTTTTATTAGGTTTATTATGGTAAAGACACAGCTCACATAGAAATCTAATTACTTCTGTGGCATATGACACTATGACTGATAACATATTCTATTTCCAGAAATATCACACAGTTTTTAGAACTCATTTTTAAAAAATTTCTTAATTTTTTTTTCTTTGAGATGGAATCTCGCTCTGTAGACCAGGCTGGAGTGCAGTTGCAGGATCTCTGCTCACTGCAAGCTCCACCTCTGGGTTCACGCCATTCTCCTGCCTCAGCCTATGGAGTAGCTGGGACTACAGGCGCCAGCTTCCACACCCGGCGAATTTTGTTTTTGTGTTTTTAGTAGAGACGGGGTTTCACCGTGTTAGCCAGGACGGTCTCGATTTCCTGACCTCATGATCTGCCAGCCTCAGCCTCCCAAAGTGTTGGGATTAGAGGCGTGAGCCACAGCACCTAGGCTAGAATACTCATATTATTAACATTCCCATAAATATTATTTAGAGAAGGTTTAGCATCACTTATCACTCATTTAAAAATGCTTTATATATATTTTAACATATCAAATAAGGTGGCTTTTCCATTCAGTTTCTCTTTCCCAACTGGATTACTGAATTCTTGGTGTAGCCCATTAATAGGGCCAAAAACGTATAGTCTTATGTATGTCGAAAAAGGTCCTTATATAATTCCAGTACTTCTACCTGAGAATCATTGATTTAGTTTTAAGTTCTACCTATTACAAGAGTTCCCCATCCTCGTTACATATTTGTAGTGTCAGGGAAGGCTTAAAAATTACCGGTGCCTGGGTCCCTCTCTAGACCTTTAAACTGGAACTCATGGGTGACGCTTGAGCACCCACTTTTAAAAATGTTTTCCAGTGATTCCAATGTGGAGCTATATTTCCCGTCAGATTTCTCTGATTTCTTGTGGCCTTCACTTTTTTTTCTATTTTGGTATCATGATTATCTTCAGGTCTCATTTCCTGTCTTAGTCTTTATGTCCCCTGGGGTAGGGACTTTGCCTTCTTCATTTCTGTCTCTAATCCTAAAGTCTTTGTTCTCCACGAGGTCAGAGATTGGTTGTGATGAAGGGTGTGGTTAAGTCTGTAGTGCAGATGGTGGAGGGGCATTCACCCTGTTTTTAGGCATAGCATTGGAACTAAGAATTTTATGTCTATATGGGTGAAGGGGCAGGGATGGGAGGAAGACAGTTCTAATTAGGATGGAAGAATTATACTAGGAAGTAGAGGTAAAGGAAGTGAGAAGGATTAGTAAATAGAAGAAATGTGAACTTACAAATAGGCTAGAGTAGACCCCTGGAGATTCTTGATTAAGTGAATTAACTAGATTTTAGAAAGGTAATGAGGCAGTCATATGCAAGGAAATTTTCAAAGTCTGGAGACAAGAAGTCAAGCAACACTTTGAGAAGTGGTCGAGCTTTGTGGGAATGGAGAGAATTACACTATTGAGAGAGTGTTAAAAATAATGGAGAGGGTTTCACAATGTGAAAATGTGTTTCTCATTTAAATCTGAGAAACAAACGAGTAGAAGCTGGAGATAATTATGTTTTAAAGACATTGGGGGTACAGGGAGCATAAAGGCCAGGTAGAAAGGGAACTGCAGGAATTAGTGCTGGGATGCAGGAGTTTGGTGAAGGAAGGAGGAGATCCAGTCCCAGATACAGGGAAATAAGTCTTTTCCCTCTCCCAAGCATGGCCGTCAGCCCTGCAAGAAATGGGAGAAGAGAAAAGGCCATCATACCTGTATTTCATACCATACCTGAAATACAGAAATGACATCACTGTTGCTCTATCAGATGATTCCAGGATAGCTTTCCTCATCCTATAGAAGCTGTCATGGAAAGAAAAGAAAAGAACGAATGGAGATGATGTTATTTAAGGGGGGAGCCTCAGGCAAAAGCATGTGACATGAAGTACTCTATAATTGCTTCTTCAAGGAATGCAGTATTTCTGTTGGAAACCTCATGGGAGATGATTATATTCTTGCAGTTCTTTTTCCTCTCTCACCGTGTTTCTAGGTTTTTGATCAGTCCTCTATCAATTCTCTATTGCACTCAGATATTTCAGAAAGCTTTCGGATGGGAGAAAGGCTGATCGCTATTTTGTCTGTCATTAGAACTATCCACCTTTACACTTTTTCATGGTTGCATCTTTTACTTAGTGTCCCTGTGGTGGCAGCCATGAATGAGACCCTGCCAGATCTCCATGGCAGGGACCTGATTGACAGAAGGCCCAGGTCAGTGCATTTCAAATTCACCAACTCCTTTGCACAGAACGCTTCCTCCCCACAGGCTCCCAACAAGGGCGTGAAAGCACGCCTAGTTCTCTGAGACTCTCCCTAACTTTAATGGGTGACTTGTTGGAGGACTCCCCATCAGCCTTGCAAAAACTCTCTTAGAACTGCATTGGTACCTAAAACTTCTTTCTCTTTCTTTTTCACAGGAGTCAGCTTTGCTTATTGGTCTGTGGATTATCCCAAACTACCTTCATGCCTGCCCCACATTCCCTCACAGGTGTCTTCCCTGATAAATTATCTTATATGTCTAATCCCATCCTGGATGCATCTCAGTTGGTGAAAACTAACATACCAGGCTTGATTCTTTGCACTTAGATTTTTTTCCTTTGTCACCCACAAGCAGTCAGTAACCATGTCCTAGTGTTTTATGTGTTACCTCTTTTTCTACATATATATGGAAATAGGTACTGTTGAGGGGCATGTCCTATATGGAAGGCCTTGTGCTAAATACTTTACCTGAACCTCATGTAATTCACACAGTAAGCCTGTCAGGTAGACATTATTTCCATTTTGCCTATGAAAAGGCAGAAACTTAGAGTAGTGTAAAAACTTTCCTGGTGTCATATGGCTAGTAATCGAGATTTCTTTCTAGGATCTGAGATTTCTTTCTAGGACTATTTGACCTCAAGGCTAATGATGGTGGTAGTAATATAGCAGCTGACATTGGTTCTTCTGTGTGTGGCTTCTTTTTTTCATTGACTGTATTAAAACTTTAAAAGAATGGTATGAAGCAAGCTCTCTCATACTTCAGGATATGAAAGAAGAACAAACTACACCCAAGCACAGTGAATGAAGGAAACAATATGGATTAGAGTGGTTAAAAATAAAATGCAGAATGGAAAAAGAATAGAGTAAACTAATGAAAGAAAAGTTGATTCATCAAAATAAAATCGGCAAAGTTGACGACCATTAACTTGACTAAGAAAAAAAGAGAGAAGATTAAAATTACTAAAATCAGAAATGAAAATGGAGTCTGAACATGGTGGGTCATATTTTAATCTTAGTACTTTCGGAGGTCACAATCTGAGGATTTCTTGAGGCCAGGTGTTTGGACCAGCATAGGTAACCTGGGGAGACCCAGTCTCTCCAAAAAAAGTTTAAAACCTATTAGCTGGGCATAGTGGCATGCATCTGTAGTCGTAGTATTTTGGGAGGCTGAAGAAGGAGAATTGATTGTGCCCAGGAGTTTGAGGCTGCAGGGAGGCATAGTCACACCACTGTATTTCAGCCTGGGCTGGCCTACAGAGTGAGCGCCTGTCTCTCCCTCTAAAAAAAAAAAAAAAAGAAAATGAAAGATTACTACCAATTCTGAAAAAATAATGATTAAGAAAGTACTGTAAATAATTCTATGCCAATAAATTGGATAACCTAGATGGAATAGACAAATTCCTAGAAAAACACAAAAATATGAATAGAACTATGATCAGTAATAAGATTGAATCAATAAAAGCATTTGATGAAATTCAATATTTTTCATAATAAAAACATTCTAACTAACAATGGAAGGAAACCACCTCACCATAAAGGCAATATGTGAAAAAACCAATGCTAACATCATACTCAATGGAGAAAGACTGAAAGCTTTCCCTGTATGAGCAAGAACAAGACTAGGATGCTGTTTTGACACTTTATTCAATGCAGTATTGAAAAGTCTAGTCAGAAAAATTAGGTAAGAATTTAAAAAAAGACATTCAAGTTGGATGAAAGGAGTAAAATTGCTTCTGTTTGCAGATAACTTGAAGTTATATGTAGAAAATCCTAAAGATGGAACAAACCTATTAAAATTAATAAATGAATTCAGTAATGTTGCACAATAGAAAAATAACCTTCAAATATCCGTTGTATTTCAATACACTAACCATGAACAATCTGAACGGAAATTAAGAAAAAATTGTGATTTGTATTAATGTCAGAAAGAATAAAATATTTATGAATAAGTTTAACCAAAGAGGTGAAATGATTACACCTGAAATCCATAAAATATTGCTTAATGATAACATCAATAAAATGAAAGACATTTTGTTTTCATGAATTAGAAGACTCACTATTGTTAGGAGGACAATGCCACACAAAGTGAGCTGCAGATTCAATACAATTCCTATCAGAATCTCAGTGACTTTTTTTTTTTTTTTTTTTTTTTGAGACGGAGTCTCGCTGTGTCACCCAGGCTGGAGTGCAGTGGCGCGATCTCGGCTCACTGCAAGCTCCGCCTCCCGGGTTTACGCCATTCTCCTGCCTCATCAGTGACATTTTTGCAGTAAAAGAAAAATCCGTCCTAAAATTTATATTGAAACTCTTTACCCTAAATAGACAAACAACTTTGAAGAGGAAGAATGAAGCCGGAGGACTGACACTTCAGGATTTCAGCATTCACAACAAAGCCCCAGTAACTAATACAGTGTGGTACTGGTATTAAGGAAGACATAGAAATTAATGAAATGGAATTTCAGCATTTACAACAAAGCCCCAGTAACTAATACAGTGTGGTACTGGTACATGGGAAGACATAGAAATTAATGAAATGGAACAGAGAGTCCAAAAAGAAATACTTGCATATATGTCCAAATGATTTTCACTGAGTGTGCCAAGATCATTCAATGGGGAAAGGGATATGGCAGCCACCAAATGATATTGAAAGTTGGATATCCAAGGGCAAGAATGAGTGGAACCTTACCTAACATCATATACAAAAATTAACCCACAATAGATCAAAGATTTAAATATAAGAACAAAAGCTATACAACCCTTAGAAGAAAACATAGGAGAAAAGCTTCATGATATTGGATTTCAAAATGATTCCTTGGTTGTAACAACAAAAGCATAGGCAACAACAAATGGATAAATTGGACTTCATAAAAATCAAAAACCTTTTATATATCGAAGAATATTAACAAGAAAGTAAAAAGGCAAACCATGAAATGAGAAAAATAATTGCAAATTATAAGTGTGATAAGAAATTAATTTCCAGAATACATGAAAACTAGAAACATCCAAAACCCAATTAAAAATGAACAAAGGATTAAAATAGAGTTTTCCAAGGAAGATATAAAAATATCCAATAAGCCCATGCAAAGCTCCTCAGCATCATGAATACTTAGAGATATGCAAATCAAAACCACAATGTGACACCACCTCACATAATTTTAGTATGGCTTTGATAAACAACAACAACGAAGGCAACACAAAACAACAAGTGTTTTCAAATAGATGAAAAAAATCAGAGCTCTAGTGCATTGCTGATGAGAAAGGGAAATGTTATAGCCACTGTAAAAGTGGAAGCGTGGCTGTTTCTCAAAAATATTAAACATAAATTACCATTTGATCCAGCAATTCCAATTTCTGACGGCCCCTATAGAACTGAAAAATTTGAACACATATTTGCACATTGATGTTCAGAGAAGCATTACTCACAATAACCCAAAATGGAAACAACGGAAAAGTCCATTGAAAGATAAGTGGGTAGGCCAATGAGGTATATCTTTTGTTATCAAAAATGTTATTCAACGGGGCGGAGTAAGACGGCCGGAAAGGGAACAGCTCCAGCTCAGGCCCCAGTGCGAGCCACACAGAAGACAGGCGATTTCTGCATTTTTAACTGAGGTACTGGGTTCATCTCACTAGCGAGTGCTGGACAATCAGTGCTGGTCAGCTGCTGCAGCCCGACCAGCGAGAGCTGAAGCAGGGCGAGGCATTGCCTCATCTGGGGAAGCGCAAAGGGGGAAGGGAATCCGTTTCCTAGCCAGGGGAACTGAGACACAGAACACTCCTGGAAAATCGCAACCCCACCCCAATACTGAAGCTTTTACCAAGGGTCTTAGGAACGGGCACACCAGGAGATTATATCCCACACCTGGCTGGGAGGGTCCCATGCCCACGAGCTCCCCTCACTGCTAGTACAGCAGTCTACGATCTAACGGCAAGGCAGCAGCGAGGCTGGTGGAGGGGCGGCCGCCATTGCTGAGGTTTAAGTAGGTAAAAAAAGCCACTGGGAAGCTCGAACTGGGTGGAGCTCACAGCAGCTCATGAGGCCTACCTGCTTCTGTAGACTCCACCTCTGGGACAGGGCACAGCTAAACAACAACAACAACAACAACAAAGCAGCAGAAACCTTCTGCAGACGAAATGACTCTGTCTTACAGCTTTCTTGAAGAGAAAGCAGGGATTTCCCAACACGGAGTGCTGTGAATTGAGAACGACAGACTGCTTGCTCAAGTGGGTCCCTGACCCCGAGTAGCCTAACTGGGAGACATCCCCCACTAGGGGCAGACCGACACTTCACACCTCACAGGGTGGAGTACACCCCCGAGAGGAAGCTTTCCAAAGCAAGAATCAGACAGGTACACTTGCTGTCTGGTAACACTTGTCTCTGCAGCTCTTCTGCTGCTGATACCCAGGCAAACAGGGTCTGGAGTGGACCTCAAGCAATCTCCAACAGACCTAGAACTGAGGGTCCTGACTGTTAGAAGGAAAACTAACAAACAGGAAGGACACCTACACCAAAACCCCATCAGTACGTCACAATCATCAAAGACCAG